CAACTACCTAATAAATGCTTGTTGATTGATTGAATCTTTTAATAAATGTAGCCCAGTACTTTTCCCAAGCATCTCCTCCCTCCCCTCCCAGCCTTGCCTTGACAGTAAAATTAACAACACTTGGCATTCTGTCCTGTGCACCCTGGGCAAGGTTGATTATCTCCAAAGCTGAAGTAAAAACATCAACCGTAAATGCTGAATTGTCAAATCTCAACGGTAAGATCTCCGTGGTTAGCTCTGCTCCAGCAGGGCGCCTCGTGGGAGGGTAATGAACAGCTCTGAAGGAACAAGACTAACGCATGTATCCAAACAGCCAAATGGACTTCTAATCTCCCATGAAAGAGAATTTGTCTCTAAGGATAAATCTCTAGATTAAGACAGTAGGTCCAATAACAATCACATTATAGTCCCTTGCTGAACACAGGTCCTGTAGGATTTCCATTCGAGTTCACATGGCTTGACAACCTCTTTCACAATGGACTTAGCAATATATTTAAATGTTTCCTGTTTTGCAATAAGGAACAACTCCCCACACACAGGATGAGGGCGGTTACCTCAGTACCCTGTTATATCTTAGTAGTTAGTGTCTGACTGTTTCCCCAACACCCTCGGAGTTTCCTTGCTGGGGGTGGGGGTGGGAATGGGGGTAGTTGTCTCATCCTCCAAGACCAAAAAAAGCTAAAACCGAAAATACACCGTTGTGAAGAAGAAAGTCTGCCCTCCCTGGGCAGAGACACTCCTTTGCTCTCGGTGGTGTGACCCACTTCTCAGCTGAAGCAATGAATGAACTGTCTGGGATAAACCAAGTTCTGACTTAAATGATCACTTGCTGGGTGAGGTCAGGCTCAGCGTCAATGAATCCTTTCAAAAGGATAAAATAGTAATACTTCATACAACTTAAGCAAGACTGGCCACCCTTTGTTACTGTCAATAACTACATTTAAAAAAAATCTTTCAACCTTTCTGAGCTTCAATTTTCTCACCTGTGAAATGATGGGGATACTTCACAGGGCTTTTGATCAAATTAGATAACATAAAATATAAAGCACTTTGCAAACCTTAAAGATGTCACTATTAGTATTAATAATAATAATGATGATGATGAAAAATCAAACTTCTTCCTCAATACCAGGTTATTTAACTTGCTTCTAGGGTACCTAAAAATGGTTATTGCAAAGCTTAATACCTATTACTAAGGGATAATACAGTAAAGTATTTAAACAATTTAAATTACTTAAATCTTCTAAAGAAAAAAAATCTAATCCAAAAAAAGGACAAACCCTGATCTAATCATGAGCTACAGTGTTTGCTTTTTGTTTTAGGGGCTGACTACTAAAGGATTATTTTCCTAATTAGAAAAAAAAAAAGGATAAAATCCACTCTTTTTCTCAACCCAAATGAAAGGCAATTCAGAAATGATTTTACAAGAGGAACTGAGATATCCGAGATAAACACAATCAAGTGAAAATTACAATCTACTTTTGGAAAAGAAAGTCATTTCCTAGAAGCGGGTCCTCCTGTTAAAAAGAAAATGGTACCAATTTACATGCAGCCTCAGGTTTTCCCCTCTGCCTTTTTCCCCCTCCTCCTACTTCGAGAAGCATCAATCCATGCACTGACTTTCCTTGTTCCTCTCCTTTCTTACGCCAACCTTGTTGAAATGAGTCCCTCAAATCTTGCAGTTCTTTTATGGAGAAGGGATGGCTAACTACTACAGCGAGACAATACTGAGCTTAAGAGTTCCTCCTGTTCCCTAACATATGTATGTAGTACACGTATGCATGTTTCATTGAAACTTAATTCTTTCTGGTCCAGACCTATTTTACTGGTACACAGAAATAACAGTTAAGAAACTTCCCCAACTAACGTATATCTGTTGATGCTGGAGGGATGACAGATCGAGAGCTGGTAGGCAACATGGAATCCGAATCCAACTCTCTCATTTTACAGATGAGGAAACTGAGGCACGGAGAAGCAAAGTTACAGGATTGCCGATTTACAGCTAGAAGGGATCACAAAGATCATGGAGCCCATTCCCTACCATTTTGCAAATAGGTGACATGCCCAGGGTCACACAGCCAGCATATGACAGGGTTAGAGACTCGAAACCATATCTTTTTGACTCTAAGGCTAGCTCTCTATCCACAACACCATGCTATCTAACTTCGTATTGGCCAAGAAGCATTCATTGGAGAAAGGCTAACGGTAAATAAGATTAAACCTTTCTTCCCTCATTCAGCCAACACCAGCTTGTTTTTGTCTAGATTGAAGAACCAGCAGCTGGTTCATAATCAAAAATTTATATCCAAAAGTTCTTTCCAGGTGGAATTTATGGATAAAAATGACACTAAACTAACGCACCATTCAGTAAAGATTATTTTTTAAGTATTGGGGATTGCATTCCTGCAAGAACCTAAAGGTTGGGGGTACACAAAAATCCCAGTTGGCATCCATGGCCTCTTTCAACACATTTACTTTCCCGAGTCTAAATGGGAAAAATCACCAACTCCTGCTGCATGGGAAGAACTAACTTTCATCATCTTTTTTTGTATATATTTAACTTAAGCTGAAGGGTCATTGTTGATAAGTGAAAAGAACGCTGTCATATAAATAAATCTCAAGTCACTGGTCTCTTCTCACAGGCAATATGCTTACACTGTACTGGTAACAGGCCCACTGGGAAGTGGTTCAGTATCAGTCAGTGCCCAGTAAACATTTTGTGATGTCACTAGCAATATGTCCAAATATGTAAAATGACAGAAGCCCAAGGTTAACTTTACTATGAACATTTGAAAGGGAAGAACATTTTCTGAATATTTAATCTACAACGCTATGGAGGGTTCTCGGTAGAGGCAATTTTTCTTACTCTTTATCCCCAAACACAATTAAGCACTGATGAACCATCTTTTTTTAACTTTCAGATTCATGTAATGAACATATACTGTCCAGAAATGCACTCCAGCTAGGTTCCTGCCACGTTTTTTGAATTTGTACTGCAGACTTCCATTAGGATAGACCCAATTACACGTTTTAAATAATTAATAACCAACCTTTTATATAGTCCTTTCTATGTGGCAAGCACTTTGTAATTATCTCATTTGATCTTCCCAACCTTGGGAAGCAAGTGCTATTATCCTCACTTTACAGACGAGGAAACTGAGGCAAACAGAGGGTAAGTGACTTGTCTATGATCATAGTCAGTAATTGTCTGATGCCACACTTGAATTCAGGGCTTCCTGACTCCATGCCAAGCACTCTATCCACTTGTACCATGGAGCTGTTCTCTAATTATGCACAATTTTAAAATTTTACAATAAAATTATAAATTATGCAATAAAATTATACAATAGTGCACAATTTTAAATATATATGATTACAGCAGGAGGATTCATTATTTCCACTAATTGAGACCTAGCTATAATTCAGAGCTAGACCAGGGTGCGGAACCTGCGGCCTTCTTGGTCCTTGGGTGCGGCCTTTTGACCAACTCCAAGTTTCACAGAACAAATCCTTTTATAAGGGAATTTGTTATGTGAAGTTTGGATTCAGTCAAAGGGCCACAGTTGAGGACCTAGAGGGTCACATGTGGCCTCGAGGCTGCAGGTTCCCCACTCATCACAAAGAAAGGAGAGGAACGAGAAAAGTCAGTGCAGGGATTGATGCTTTGTGACATCTGACAAAGGTGAAATGGGCTACCTCAGGAAGCAGTGGGTTCCCCATCACCGGAGGTCTTCAGGCAAGAGTTAGATAATCTTTTGTTGCGTGTGTTGCAGAAGGAAAGTCTTTTGTGGGCATGGGTGTGACGAGAGGGCCACTGAGGTCCGGTCCACCTCTGAAATTCTATAATGTGCCTACATCCCAACCTGGCTCAGTCCAATACCTAACACATCACGAGTATTTTATGAAAACTATACTCAAGTCAAGAAAAGGGACTCCCCCGTCCCCCAGCATGCAATCAAACATCACATGCTATACATCACCTTGCAGATCTTTTATTTTGTGTGTAAGTCGTGCAGAAGACATCTGCATATCATGTTTTAACTTAAAAAAGACAAAGCTCAAGGAGGAAGTCAGTGAGGAAGCAGGACGGACGGCGTACCACCGCTGAGAGGCCGATGGCTTTCCAAAGATGAGACAGAGGGAAGGGAAGGAGCTCATAGCAACATTTTCCTTGTCAGAATACAAAGGTAACACACAGGATTAAACAGTCCCTTCATGGTTGGAGTCTGAATTGTTATCGATCAACATTGTCTTTTAAAAAATTAGAAGCTCTGTTAGAAAAAAAGTGAAGTGTTTATATATATGTATATATACTGAATCACATGCAAGAAGAGCACAAATAAAATCATTTTACAAATGTGATTACATCGAGTAATCAGTCTCCTGACTGCCATCACAGTACATCAGATTAAGTACCTTGTCTAAGTGGTTTTTTTTTCATATTTAATTCCTTTATTATTCTGTAAAAGGTAACAAAATATACAGAGCAAAACTTTCCCTTTTTTAAACTAATGTTACAACCCATATTTATTATCACTTATATTTATATATAAATACTACACTCTATAGCTGATCATTAATTAAGCCAGAGTATAACACATTAGGTGTATAGAAATTCAAAGTAAACCTAATTGTCATGCAAAATAAGGTATCGGTGTGTTCCTATATTGTTCCTTCTGAGTGATCACTGCAGCAATGTTTTTTAACTAAACTGAGTTACCTGAAGGGGGGAAAATAGACCATCTTAGGGAATGAGGGAGGAAGAGGAGAAGAGGTTCCATTTGTTTTTTTAAAAGACCAATCTTTCAAAATTAGCACTTTAGAAACATGGATGGATCTTGCATAGAATGAAAAGTGAATCAGGCACTTCTTAGGCTAATTTCTTTGAATAAAAAGAATAAGGAGAGAGAGAGGGAGGGAGAGGAAGAGGGAGAGAGAGAGAAAGGGAGGGGGGGGGGGAGAGAGAGAGAGAGAGAGAGAGAGAGAGAGAGAGAGAGAGAGAGAGAGAGAGAGAGAGAGAGAGAGAGACACACACAGAGAGAGAGAGAGACACAGAGAGAGAGAGAGAGAGAATCAAGGTATGACACCGTGTCTGGCCACAATGTGGTTTTCTTTCATCACACTCAATCTTGTTGTATCCCACATGCCAGCATGAAGTGCTGTGCATCACTTTATCAGGCTTCATAGGTGCTTATTCTGACTCAAATCAATCCTGCCGCAGGCCCGTTTGGCACTAAGAAACACATGAGAAGTTCTCTAGGCACCCCTCCGTCCCCTCCCCTCCCAGCCCCCAGAAGATCCCCGCTGAATAATGATTCTCTCTCCACTGGAGAACCTGCAATATGGTAGGGAGTTTCTAGATTTATAGAATACTAAAAATACCCATCTGTAGTCTGTGATACAGTGACCCCCTCAGAAAAGCCCACGTGTTCAGATCTGCCTTTTCCCATAGTCCTGCCCGCTCGGCTGCACAGTGCGTCTTTACATGGCTTCAAACTCATCGATTCTCTGCTTTGTGTTGCCCTGTCGAATCTGCCTCAAAGTCTTGTACTTGTCCCGTCCTTGTCTCATGTTCTCATTGTGGATGATGTCATTGTGGGTCCTCTTGTTCTCATCCCTGGCCTGGGACAGCTCGTTGGTCAATGTCTGAAATGGTAAGGAACAGGATTAGGTAAACGGCACGTCGGGAATTTAATGACAACCATGACGGACACCCATGTGGCACTTTGAGGTCGGCAAAACATCTCATTTGGTTCCTGCAAATGAGCTATAATTTACATAGCTCGCAGCTACACAGAGTTAAGTTGTGTCCGAGCCTTCATGACCCCGTTTGGGGTTCTCTCGACAAAGATACTGGAGTGGTTTGCCGTTTCCCTCTCTGACTCATTTTACAGATGAGGAAACTGAAGCAAACAAGCTTAATGACTTGCCCAGGGTCACACAGCTAGTAAATGTCTGAGGCTGGATTTGAACTCATGAAGAGGAGTCTTCCTGATTCCAGGCCTGGCACTCTATGCACTATGGCACCACCGAGCTGCCCTCTACAGGGATTATTATCCTCATCTTAAAGATGAGGAAACTGAGGTTAAGGGGCTTGCCTGGGGCCATGTAGCTGGTATCTGAGGGAGCATTTGAACCAAGGTCTTCCGGACCCCTGGGTATGGTGCCAATGATGCGTCTCTAAAACGCCCAAGCATCGCAGCTGACTTTTGAGCCACCTAGATAAGCTTTTAGAAAGCTCAGGCTCTCTCAGAGATGGAGAAATAACAAGGAAAGCAGAGAAGTCACTGCTAAAATAGGAGTGTGTCACTGCTGCTCTGCTTATTATCTCCACTGGCTCAAAAGAAATCACATGTGTTAGAGATTAAGAGAAGAGAAGGACCTTCACCGCAGGGAGGGAAAGCATGGCACTACTGCATATGGCATTGGACGCAGGCCGTGTTGGTTTTGGGGAATTGTTTCCCCCTCCTTTTCTTTTTTTCCCCCTCTACTATTTAAAAATAGTTTTACTTTTTTTTTTTTAAGTTTCCCCTCCCTGCTTCTTTTTCTAAAATAAATTAAAAGTTTTATTTTCACTCTCCCTTCTTTTAAATCTGTTACAAGGAATCATTAACTGAATAGTGGAGGGGGAAAACATATTTGGAAATACATTATTTTCTCTCAGAGAACCTGGAATATGGTTCAGGTTTTTGCCAATTTAAAATATTACTTATCTAGATTCCATTTTTCCCCCAGGCCCCCATAATTTCCATGGTGGGCAGCCATCCCTATCCTATGAATGTGACTGAAAATTTTTTTTTTAAGGAAAAAAGAAGGTGTAAGTGGGGACACCAATAAAAAAATTATTGCCAGTTTAAAAAAGTAACACATGGAAGACGAGCACACAGCTCCTGTTTTCCTAGTTCTCAGACTTTAATAAGCTTCTCACAGCCTCCACCAACACCTCTGCTCTGACCTGCAGCTGTCTCTGCACACGCTCATTCTTCTCGGCCTCTGTGATACGTTTCTCTTCATTTCGGTCATCCAAGATGCCTTCGCTGGAGAACTCGGCGCTGTAGCCGCTATACTCGGTCCCTTCATCCTGCAAGTTCTCGTGCACGTGGTAATTCACCAGTTCGTACACAGGTGGTGGGGGTGGTGGAGGGGAGGTCATCACCTGGTGAAGTTCTTCCTTGGTCTTGACAAGATCATCTTGGGCTTCCCTGGCCTTTAAAAAGAAATTAACAAAGATGGGAAGACTTTTTCCCCTCCCTTGAATAGGATCCTTGTGGTTTGAGCTGGTTTTCCCTAGAGATCTCTTCCTTTAAGAACCCAGAGCCTTGCTAAGAGAATGAGATTTGCACACACACACACACACACACACACACACACACACATGCACGCATGCACACAATCTTGTTTTTCCTCTAAGAAAGAGAGTTAGGAGTTACCTCAGGCTTACCAAAAATGGGTTTTTTCCTTTTGCTTCTAGCATCAGAGCAGTGATGACTTTCTTGTCATTTAGAGTAATGTTACAACTGCTCATTTAAAAATATTACTTATCATAGACACTAATTTTTTCCTTAGGCCCAGGGCCCTTAATTATTTGCATGGTGACCAGCCATCTCCATCCTATGGATGTAGTTAATTGAGATGAAGGATTTTGCTAAGACCAGGGAAGTAAAGCTACTCTGGACCAGAATATATATTGCTTCTGATGCTGACCACTGTGTTTTTGGGGTCAAAAATTGAGAAGACACAGGGAAAGCATAACCTCACCATCCTATACTGTCATGACCTCCTCTCCTTTCCCTTGGACCCTACAAAGTCCTTATTTGCGCTGTTCTGATGGACTTACTAATCATAATTGTTCACGTAGACGTCAAAATCCCCTACTAGATCAGAAACTCCATGAGGCCCAAGAACTGTATGTTACTTAACACCCCACCCCTATCCACTGTGCCTATCATGATGCTCTGAAGAGAGGACGTATTTAATAAACATTTACTACATTACAATGAACTGAGAAACCAGTTAGGGGAATAAAGGATGAAAGGCTGTGGAATAAGATGAAGGGTGGTATTAGAAGAGATGGAACTAGACGGTATAGAGGTGAAGGGAAGAGAGTTCTCAAAATGTCTGCTTTGCTGGGGGAGGGCTTAGATATGGAATATCAGATGCCTGCCTTCCATGAGAGCACTTCCATAAATGAAGTACTTGAAACAGTGAAAAAAAAGAGGGAGATGGAGAGAGAGAGAGAGAGAGAGAGAGAGAGAGAGAGAGAGAGAGAGAGAGAGA